AGCAGACCGCGGAAGCCCCGCCCCTGCTCCCCGCCCAGGTCCTCCTGGCCACAGGCACGGGCCACCGCTCCGCCGTCCCCTGCCAGACTCCAGCCTGCCACTCTGGACAGCTCCCTCAGACTCAGGAGGCCGTCCCTCCCGAGCCGCTGATGCCCTGGGCCTCCCTGTCCCAGCGAGGGCCCTCTCCAGGCCCCTCCCCACGGGCCCTGCTCCTGACTTCTAGTGGTCACCAGGGGCCCAGCAGGCAGGTCCCCACCTCTGGCAAGGGAGTGAGCAGGGCTCAGAGGGGAACAGGACATGCCAGGGACAGCACGCGGTGATGGTGGGGACGGGGCAGCACTGCTCCCAACGGTGGCTGCAAGGCCACGGCCCAGGCCTCATCACAGGGCCGCGGTGCCCCCTCCGGCTGCAGGTCCCTCTGGGCTTTGCTCTGTGAAGAGACCCAAGTCCTGCCCATGACACGGGTGCCAGCCCTCACAGGGACACCACCTGGGCCCAGCCCAGATGGCGCCTTCCCAGACACATCCCCAGTCTCCCGGGGAAGCCACTGTCACTGCCTCTATCTTACAGGTGGGGAGGGTGCCACAGAGAGGGGAAGGAACGGGCCCGAGGTCACACAGCCAGAGCCGAGGTTCCCTGGCAGGCCCAGCCCACACCGGGCCTGCCCCATGCTGCCCTGCCTCTGGGCGGCCACAGCTCCGGGCTCCTCTCGATGGGCCCACCCTTCTCTGGGGCCAGGAAGACCTCAGAGTCCAGTGTCCAGCTGTAGACTCTGCATTGTAGTGTGGGAGGCCCCTGGAGCCACCAGAGTCCAGGTGGCCGACCTATGGGGACCACGCCCACCCCTGGACACCTGTGCTTGGCCCTGGAGGGAAGGCGTCCCACCCGCCAGGCAGGCCCTGGTGACAGGTGTGGAGGCCTGCTGGGGTCACTTGGCTCCAGCCACCCTGCGCCTGCCCGCTGACCTCCCAATCGCTGCACGTCGGACTCAGGCAGGTCACACACTGCACCAGCAGCTAGCAGGGCCGTGGGGACAGGCCACAGGGCCCCGCCAGGCGGCCGATGCACTCTGGGTCTGACGCTGCTGGACTGGGGGTGCTCACCCTGTGTGGGCGGCTGCGCTGGGCACCGTGGGACCCTTGGTGGCCCCCTTGGTGGCATCCTGGTCTCCACCCACCAGAGGGCAGCGGCCCAGCCACCCAGCATGCAGACGTGGCCAACTGTCCCCAGGGAGGCTGACCACTCACCCCGTGCAGACAGCAGGCACCACCTGGCAAAGGGACCCAAGCAGGCGCACCTTCGTGGCACGTGCTGCCAAGGGGCTGGTGGAGCCGAGGCCGTGCCAGGCTGCACTGGGGGGCCTGGTGCACCCGGCCCCTCAGCATCAGGCCCGACGTGGACCAGGGCCTTTTGGATGAAATCAGTCAAGGATCTTGAGCGGAGGTGACCTGACCCAGGACTGAGCCTGTGGGAGTGGAGGCCGGGCTGTGCGGTGTC